GGGAAAGATGCCACAGTGATCAGGGACATGCAAATTAAGGCCACACTGAGACATGCAGTATACCCACCAAGTCAGCAAAAATGAAGAAATCTCAAAAATAAGTGTTGATGGAAGTGTGGAGTCTTCCCCACGCGGGTGTGGGCAGTCTTCCCCATGCGGGATTATCTAGGGAGGGTGGCTGAGGGCACAGCCCAGCTGCCATTCCACACAGGACACAGGTACATCCGTCGGTCACAGCGGTGCTTTAGCAACAGCAGCAGTGGAAATAACCCAGAGGCTCACGGTCAGAAGAATGAATAAGTATGTTCCTGGGACAGATCTATAAATACGGTAGCAACATGAATTGTAAGAAATGTAATTCTGAGTGAAAAAAATTAAGGGCACGTGACTACATATATGGCATAATATTTTTATTATGTTTTGTTAACCCTCACCCAAGGGATATTTTTCCCACAGATTTTTAGAGAATGGAAGGGAGGGTGGGGGAGAGAAAGAAAAACACTGATACATCGAGTGGTTGCCTCCTGCTTGAACCTGCAACCCAGAGCATGCCCTTGACCAGGAATTGAACCCAAGACCTTCCAGTGCTGGGGCAGACGCTCTAACCCTGATTCACACCAGCCAGGGATCGTGTAATGTTGTTTTTGTTTTGTTTTGTTTTTTATTGATTTTAGAGAGAGATACAAACATCCACGAGAAAGAACATCAACTGGCCGCCTCCTGCATGCCCCGCACTGGGGATTGGGCCCATAACCTGGGCATGTGCCCTGACCTGGAATCGAACCAGCGACTTCTTGGTGCAGGGTCGGCACTCAACCACTGAGTAATACCGGCTGGGCTGGTGTAATATTTTTAAAAGCTAAAAAACAATATATATTTTTAGAGATACATGCATGTAATTATGTATTTTCCAAAAACAAATAATAAAGCCAGAAGACAAACAGAAAATTCAGGACAGTGGTCACCTCTCCTGAAGGGGATAGAAAGGGCCTAGAACACATGGATAGATTCAGTGACACCAAGATACCTGATATATGAAATTCAGTAGGGGGTCTGTAGTTGCTCCTTTTATTATTATGCTTCATAACTTCCTTATATGTTATATATTATATGTTTGTGTATCAACTATTACATAAAACTGTCATCAGGTAAGAAACCAGCAGCTTGGCAGTGAGCACTAAAAGGGTTATGAGGTATGTGAAATTTGGGGGGTGAGGGGCAAATATGCTAGAGAACGAGACAATGACATTTTTTTCTTCTATTGACTTTAGAGAGAGAGGAAGGGAGAGGGAGAGAGACAGAAACATGGATGAGAGAGAACATAAACTGGCCGCCTCCTGCATGCCCCCCACTGGGGATCAGGCCCACAACCTGGGCATCTGCCCTGACCCGGAATCGAACCAGCGACCTCTTGGTGCAGGGTCGACAGTCAACCATTGAGCCACACTGACCGGGCAACAATGACATTTTCAGTGTTTTAGTTTGACAACGCTACCTGCGTGGGAGAGAAAACATATCTGCTTCAGGCCAGGTGCGGAGAAAGGACATTTGCAAGCCCCGCTCCAGGGGACCGTGCTCCGGCTGGGCGACACCGCGAAGTGAGGCACAGCGGGGCCAGGAGGGACGCGCCAGCGATGCCAGTGAGCGCTGCAGGGGCAGTGCCAGCAGAAGCCAGAAGACGTGTTGGAAGAGAAAGTGAAAATGGAGGACGTAGATTAGTCTCATTTTCAAACTGCTTAGTAATGACTAAGAGAGAAAGTTGGCTTCAAGCAGAGAGAAAGTTGGTGTCGTCTTCAGGACTGTTCCCAAGCCCACGGCTTCCGTCTGATGCGGGATCAGAGAGAAAAAGCAGCCCCCAGACAAAGTCCGCTGAGCAGGTTTCAGTCTAGTCTAGGGGCACACGGATGCCTCCCCCTACAGGGGTGTTCTGATGTCACTCCCCAACCAGTGTTTTCTCTTTATTATGTTCACCGTCCTTTCAAAGTTCTTGAACTCATTCTCAATCCCAGTGATCACAGCAGAATCCAATCATGACAGTACCCCAAAGCAAACAGCGCTCCCTCCAAACATGAACACAAACTCCCACCCCAAACAAAATGACATATCTCAGTCATTCTCCTCAACTGAGGGCTTAATAGCTTGCCATTTGCACAAATCACAGATCCCCATTTATTTATTTATTTATTTATTTATTTATTTATTTATTTATTTATATTATTACTTTTTATCCTACCCGAGGAAATTTTTTCCATTTATCATCAGATAGAATGGGAGGGAGGGAGGGCAAGGGAGAGAGAAAAACATCGATGTGAGAGAGACATATCGACTGGTTGCCTCCCACAGAACCCAACCAGGGTCAGGGATGAACCACAACCGAGGTACATGACCTTGACCCGAACTGAACATGAGACTCATTGGTCCGCGGGCCGACACTCTAACTGCTGAACCAAACCGGCCAGGGCCACAGATTCCCCATTTCTTTTTTCTTTTTTTTTTATCCTCACCCGAGGACATTTTTTGATATTTTGTTCAGATAGAGTAGGAGGGAGAGAGAGAGAGAGAGAGAAACATCGACGTGAAAGGGACACATTGAGTGGTCGCCACCCTCATGATCCAACCAGGGCCAGGGACAAACTGTAACCGAGGTACGTGCCCTTAGCGGGAACCGAACCTGGGTCTCTCTGGACTGCAGGCCGACGCTCTAACTGCTGAACCAAACCAGCCAGGGCTCTTTTTTCTTTTTTATACTCACTTGAGGACATTTTCCCACTTTTGTTCAGATAGAGTGGGAGAGAGAGAGGGGAAGTGGGGGGGGAGGGGGAGAGAGAGAGAGAGAGAAACATTGACTTGAAAGGGACACACTGAGTGGCTGCCTCCCACATGACCCCAACCAGGGCCGGGAATGAATCACCACAGAGGTACCTGCCCTTGGCCTGAATCGAACCCGGGACTCATTGGTCTGAGGGCCAACGTTCTAACTGCTGAGCCAAACTGGTCAGGGCCACAGATTTCCCTTTTAAATCAGAGAATATGACTTAATACATTTTAATGGAGTTTATTGATCTATTTTTAAAGCTGTTCTTTGTAACTGCTCCAAAGTGCACAAAAAGTTAATATATCAACTATTTTCTTTACATCCTTCTCACTGAAGAAAATGTCTATCAGTGTGGGAGAAAGACAGAAAGAACAATGTAAGGATCACATCCATTACATGCCAGACTTTCTGACTCAACAGAATCTCCTGGAGGGCAGAGATCTTGTCTTGTTCATCTGTCTCTCCACAGCTGTGTCCTGGGGCACACCTACTTTAGGGCTCAATATAAATGTTGAAGGAACCAGTAAACAATGAACATATGCATTAAACAACAAGGTTTTTTGAATGCTTACTTTTGAAAAAGCATTTTAAAAGCAAATGTTTATTTTGGGAGCTGTTTCAATAAAACACGGTCCCTAGACTATGCCTGGCCCACAGTCCCCATAAATGTTTTTTGAATGAATACTTTATAGTTCAGTCCCTCGTGGCCTTGCAATCTGGGGACTTTGTAATCTGGAAGAAAGAGAAGCCACAGATTAAACTATGGCATATCTTTCTCGGGTATAAATTGTTTAAAGCTTGTAAAAGATAACAACAAAAGGTGAAATCCAAAATTAAGATTCCTTTTAAAGAGAAACATGCTTCTTCAAATACATTTTTGGTTGTGGTACTCGATCTTAGACTCCCTGAGGGTAGGTAATGTTCTCTCTCTACTGATTTTATTTTAGGGGTATTTCACAAGAAAAGTGTTAGAAGTAGAAAGTACAGATTTCGAGTTGCATACATTTTTGGTTGTGGTACTCGATCTTAGACTCCCTGAGGGTAGGTAATGTTCTCTCTCTACTGATTTTATTTTAGGGGTATTTCACAAGAAAAGTGTTAGAAGTAGAAAGTACAGATTTCGAGTCGCATCTTACATATTTGTACAAGCAGATGTGCTAAGGAGGAGAGAGTAATCAGTAACCTCTATGGAGGGTTGAACCTTTTATAAAACACTCGCACATTATTGTTTCCAGGCTCCTCCAGTTCTCGACTATCACTTACAACAGGGACTCTCAACCTCTAATTGTCAAGATTAGGAAACGGAGATGACTAAATCTCCGCTGGAGTCCTCCGGGGACTGCTCGCTGCTGGGAGGGAAACAGTGCGGACACTGGAGGGAGGCTTCACCCAAGACTACTGCAATCAGAGGAACTGTGCTCTGCAAACAGCAAGGGCAGCTGGGTGAGGGGTCAGGGGATGGAAAATTACTAACAGGAGCAGGGAGGCCTGGGGCAGTCACTAGGGGCAGGCCTGCGGGCGTGCCCGGCAAAGGTGGGGGATAAGAAATGCGATCCCCTATCCACGGTAACGCGGCCCCAAGGGGATGATTCTGCAGGTTTCGGCCGGACTTGCAGGCCCAGGTGGAGGCCTAGGTAGGGAGAGCGCTCCGCGGGCCGGAAGACCAGGAGAGGGTCTTTGTCACCGCCCACCCGGGGACAGGAGCCGGCGGCAGCCAGGCCCTGGGGCGGGACCGGGACCGGGACCGAGCGCTCGCCGCGCGGCACCCAGGACTCGGCCCGTGCGCGGGTCCCAGCGCCGCCCGCACCGCACCGCACCGGGGACACTTCCAAGCCCCACCCGGCCGCCGCGCATCCTGCTCCAGGGGGCGGGCTCCGCCGCCGGGGGCGGGGCCGCGCGCGCTGATTGGCCGGCGCGCCGGAGTGGCGCCCGAGGCCCCGCCCCGCCGCGCTCGCTCCGCCGGCCAGGCCGCGCGACGGCCGGCCCGCGGCGCCCCTCCCCGGCGGTCCCCATCGTTAAAGCCCGCGCGGGCGCCCCGCCTGTTGAGAGGGCGCCGGAGCCGGGCGGCGAGCGCGGCGGGCCGGGCTGGCGGACGCAGGCCTGCGGAGCGGCGGCGGGGCCGGGAGCTTGTGGGGAGGGTCGGTGCCGTTGCCGCCGTCCGAGCGCCGGCCGCCCGCGTCGCCCTCGGCCGGGACTCGTGCGTGAGGCCGCCCGCCGCCCGGGCCGCCACCATGTTCGACAAGGCGCGGCTGCCGTTCGTGGCCCTGGACATGCTGTGCGTGCTGCTGGGTACGTCCGCGCCCGCGCCGGGACCCGCTTCGCCGCCGCCCCGCCCGCCGTCCCCGCGCGCGCCTCCCCGGCCGCGGGCGCCCGAGCCAGGCTGCAGCCCGGGGCGGGGCGGGGGTCCGCGGCAGGCGCCCGCTCGCTTCGCCTCGCGGCTGGGGGGCGGCTGAGCTTTCCGCCCGAAAAGGCCGCGCCTGCTCATCGGAGGTGCTACCGGCGGGAGGGTGGCCAGGTCGCCAGGGGCCGCGGCGCCGGCTCTGCCCGCCGTGTGCGGCCGCTCGCTTGGCTGGGGCGCCCGCTGCCGCTGCTGCTGCCGCTCTGCTCCCGCGCCCGCGCCCTGCTGCGCCCGCCCGGCTGGCCGCTCTCCCCGCTCCCGGGCCCCTTCCTTCCGACCGGGCGGGACCAGTCCTCCGAAGCGGGATGGGCGCGGGGCAGGCGTTCGCCTTTCCAGGCGCATCGTGTGAGGCGGCGGGTCGTGGACTGTTTGCGCGCGTGGGAACCACGAGAAGACCCGCTGGAGGTTGGGGCAGCCCTGCTCAGGTTTAGTGTCGCCGTCGTGGCTCTGAAAGCTGCTCAGGTGCAGGTCTGGGACCTCGGGGCGTCCCAGGTGCAGGTCTGGGACCTCGGGGCATCCCCGGTGCAGGTCTGGGACCTCGGGGCATCCCCGGTGCAGGTCTGGGACCTCGGGGCGTCCGAGGTGCAGGTCAGCGACTCGGGGCGTCCCAGGTGCAGGTCTGGGACCTCGGGGCGTCCCCGGTGCAGGTCAGCGACTCGGGGCGTCCGAGGTGCAGGTCTGGGACCTCGGGGCGTCCGAGGTGCAGGTCTGGGACCTCGGGGCATCGGGGCTTCCCCCGGTGAAGGTCTGGGAATCGGGGTCCGAGGTGCAGGTCCTGGACCTCGGGGGAGTCCCAGGTGCAGGTCTGGGACCTCGGGGCATCCCCGGTGCAGGTCAGCGACTCGGGGCGTCCGAGGTGCAGGTCAGCGACTCGGGGCGTCCCAGGTGCAGGTCTGGGACTTCGGGGTATCCCCGGTGCAGGTCAGTGACTCGGGGCGTCCCAGGTGCAGGTCTGGGACCTCGGGGCGTCCCCGGTGCAGGTCAGCGACTCGGGGCATCCCCGGTGCAGGTCTGGGACTTCGGGGTATCCCAGGTGCAGGTCAGTGACTCGGGGCGTCCCAGGTGCAGGTCTGGGACCTCGGGGCGTCCCAGGTGCAGGTCAGCGACCTCGGGGCGTCCCAGGTGCATGTCTGGGACCTCGGGGCGTCCCAGGTGGAGGTCAGCGACCTCCGGGCGTCTCAGGTGCTGGTCATCAACCTGCTCCCAGTGATAGGAAATCCTGGGTCGCACAGTCCTGTGGCAAACCTGCCCACGGAGGTGCTTGCAGCCTTGCTGAATACTTAGATATTCTGTTACATAGGGTTTTTGGAGGAAAAACATCCCTTTTGGTTATTGCTGAAACACTTTTATTGTTTACCAAGACACTTTCTGTGTTGTCCCCACAGAGAATTTTAGGAATTAAGGTTAAGAAAAGGAAGCGCCGTTTTGGGACACCATTTTTATAGAAACACAAGTGATCATTTCAGGTGTCAGGACATGGTCATAATTACATTAAAATATATTCAAATTACGTTAGACCAAAAGTTTACCTTTGGTAAAGATGGTACATTTAAAAATGTGTTTTAACTTCCACTCAGTATCGTTACACTTCATTTCTATTTTCATGAAGGAAGAAGAAGGTCAGGCAGAAGTACTTGGATATTGCCCAGTCATTCCCACAGACTGCGTGCTGTCCATTGTATGCTAACTTCCCCCTTTCCTACCTTTCGGGAGCTATTAACTTATATAACAAACATCGTTATTTCTTGGAGCCAAGCACTGCTTGGGAGATGAAACTTTACACTCTGAGGTAGCTGAAGCGCATTTTGTTAAACACAGGGCCATTTGGTAGACCTGTGTTTTGTTTATTTTGTAAGTGTCTGGACGGTGGAGGAACCCTGTGCACATGCAGGTTCAGAGATCACAGGTGCTCGTAGTGTGTATTTTCAGCCTGGGCGGACATCAGCTCATTGCCCTGTGGAAGCAATATGTAATGGATTGCTACGTCGACCCAGGAGTCACCGATTTCTGATGACTCTCAGAAAGATAAAATTGTGCTTCAGATCGTAAATGCCTTCGATGGTTTTGAAAAGTGCTTGTTCTGGGGGTTTGTGCATTCAGTTTGTTTTAGGAAAAAATACCCATCTATTTGAAGCACACTTCACCTGTTTTTGGTTGTTTTCAAGTAACTCAGTGTATTGTCTTGCTAGAGTACTGACCTGCTTCTGTCTGGCTGTAAGATGACATCAGATTTAACATCGGCTCTGTCTCAGACAGCAGGGAGGGGTACCATGGTGTGAGTTACAAAGCCTTTTCATGTTGAGTTTTGGAAGACAGGATATTTTCATAGCAAACTCATCTTTCTAGTGGAGTCTGAGGGTCATTTTAAATTTACTATTACTCACCTTCCTGGCAGCAGGAGATTGGCAGCCTAAAGTCATGGTAGAGAAGAGGGTTATCAACTTGGCATTAACTTTTTCTCTTTCCGTGGAGAATCTACAGGTGAGAGTTGGCTGTACCACAGAAAGATGATTAAGCACTTCATAAGTACAGGGTTCTGTGAAAATGATTCATAATTATAATGTGAATATGTTCCACATTCTGATAATGACCACCCCGACATCATACAGTGTATCCATTTTAGTAGGACAATGCGGTGTGATTGTGTTACATGGCTACTTTATATTTACAGAGGGTGATCATTAAACATGTCTTCTGTGTGTGCGTATGCAGGCATATGTGTGCATGCAAACAAGCATTTCTACCCCCAAGTCAACATTATCATCGCTGTGAAACATGAATTTCTATGTGATATACCCAAGTTACTAGTTTCTTCAGTAGATCGGGTAAATCCTTGGAGAGTGAGAGTTTTGAGGGAGGCTGTGAATTGGATTCTGTTCTGAAATGGAGCTTCGTCTTGCCGTGTTCCTCTGTCTGGCTCTATTGATGATGGGCTCTGTGATTGTGGAGAAGGCCATCAGCATCATCTGAGCACACGGGAAGCTGCTCCAGGGAATGATAGTGGGCTGGTATGAAAGGGGCTGTGTGTTGTGTGAAACCATGTCCTAAATAAAACTTATTGGTGTTTAATTGCTGAGGGTCATTCCAGATTTTATCCACCATGGCTTTAGGCTGCCAATAATTAGACACTGAGTCCACTCATCAATTCGGTGCACATTGATTAAAGGCTAAGTCTGTGCCAGGTCCATGGGAGGTGCTCGGGATACAAAGTCGAATAAAACAATCCCTGCCCTGTAGTAGCTTAGGGTCTGATGAGGGAGGATCACACAAGAGGTTGTAGTACATCATGATAAGTATAATATGGGGATTTGGAATGGGTGCCCTTTGAGTCTAGAAGAGGGAGTTGTCCTAGGTAACATTCACAATGGCCCTGGCTGGTTTGGCTCAGTGGTTGGAGTGTCAGCCTGCGGACCAGAGAGTCACGGGTTTGATTCCGGTTAAGGGCACGTACCTCGTACCTCGGTTGCAGTTTGATCCCCGGCCCTGGTCTGGGTCATGCGGGAGGCTGCCAATCAGTGTGTCTCTTGCACATCGATGCCCCCACCCCCCATCTGAAGATAAATGGAAAACTGTTCTCAGATGAGGATTTAAAAAAAAAAAAAAAAAAGATTCATTATGTTTATACTATTAGAGATGCAGAAGTGACAAAAGTTAACCTGGAATTACTTTAGAATCCTTTCGTCTCTTTCCCTGGGTGGTAGGAACTCAAGTGCCTCTGTTTAAGCCTTTTCTGCGGGCAGCCATGGTCTGGAAGATTTAGATGGGACCTGGCAGACCTTTGTATGTGCCTGTTTTGCTGGGCGGCCGTCATTTAGAAAACCTTTCTGTGCCCCTGCAGATCATGTCCCCACCCTGCGGTGCTTGGGGAAATGACTTCCCTGGACTGTTAGCTGAGCTCTTGCTTTTCGGTTTCTGGTTGGCCCTGGCCAGGGGACGGGAGCAGGAGCCTGGCAGAGCCACTTGTGTTGCCAGAGCTGCTCTGGGTTTGTGAGCAGTAGGTCACAGGTTCTGTTCAGTGGTCCTCTCTGCCAGCCAGCTACTGTTACAGGTCCTGCCGGGTTCCGGGACCCCTTCCCCGCCCCTTCAGGCCAGGAGCTGATGACGGCTCCCTGATCTTGCTAGCCCGGGCTCATTTCACCTCTTTGCTGCGCTTAAATCCTGCCTGTACCTTTGAAGATGGTTCTTTCATCATTCTCTTGGCTACTGTCCTGGAGTGTGCTGTTTTTTCACCTGGACACTATTGATAGTGCTCATGTATGTCCAGAGCAGATCTAAGGTGGCTTCCCTTTCTGCACTCGACACCAGCTATAACTGCCCTATCCGCAGGGGCACACTGGAGCTCCTGGCCCCAGCGTGGGCTTTCTTGGGGGGGGGGGGGCGTGGCTTTCTCAGCAGGCTCCACCTGTGTCGCCCTCAGGCCAAGTCAAAGCCGGTAGAGCAGAGCCCAGCGGCAAAGCCCTTGGGCAGCGAGGACTGGCAGCCACTGTCCCCGTGATGTTCACATCATTCCGCCCCTTAAGCATCATCCCTGAGGAGAGGTCTCTTTCCTGACCCTCAATCTGGGCCCCTTTTCCCTGGGGGCGGAGGGACAAGCATTTAGTGAAAGAGTCACTTGCTAAATGGTCGCTAGCATTTTGTGCCCTCCCCTTTCTCTTAACATTTATTTGTTGATTCATTCATTACTGAGTACGCATTTGTGTGAGACTAGGAGATGCTGTGCATCATGTTAGGGACTGGAGAGAAAAATAAGGACCGACAGCCCCCTGTTTAGGACAGTTCGACTTAGAGTTTCCTGACCACAGTGGCGTGAGAGTGATACCCATTCAATAGAAACCATGCTTTGAATTTTATTTATTTATTTTTGAAACAGAAGCCAAGTTTATTTGTGTAT